ACTGAAATGAAACATCAGAATATATAATATAGAATTTTATTGTTATTTTAATTAATGCTTACTCATAAAATGTACAATAAAACGAATAACAGATGGATAGAAACAAATTAATGAGCAATAGTGGAACCTCCGTCATAAAAAGGACCAAGCCAGTAGTCCAACACTTAAAAATAAAAATGTCCTACTCTCTCTAGTTTATGGCAAATGTTGCATGTGTGGAGGTCCTGGACCAGGACCCATGTTTTGTGCAACGCCTCCCATTTGGCTGCGGGTATTGGTCGCATACAATTGTTGTTGGAAATTGTGGTATTGCTGCGCATAGTTCGGATCTGAAGTGATAGGCCCCACAAATGGAGCGCCTTTAAAAGCTCCGCCTTGTCCCATCGATGGTGGTAGTGGCTGGGAGGCATCCGGAGCCATTCCCATTGGGCTTCCTTTAGGCCCAGCTACAAACATTTGCTGGTTTCCTGGACCAGGACCCATTGGTGGTCCTGATGCACCAGGAAACATGCCATCACCTCCAGGACCAAACCCCATTTGAGGCACTCGCATCATGGGTCGCATACCGCCTGGACCCCCACGCATCATTGGCATCATTCCCGGTCCAGGGCCTCCAGGTCCCATGCCCATTCCTCCAGGTCCTCCCATCATGGGGCTTCCTGTGCCATTACCCATGTGGCCGCCCATTGGACCCATCATTGGAGGCTCTTGTCCCATTCCGGGACCGCCATCCATGTGGCCCATGTGCATGGGGTTGCCTTGCATAGGTCCCGGACCTCCACCCGGTCCACAATTTTGAAAAAATTGCCCTGGTTGCATTTTGGAGGTGTCCATCATGCTGATGGGTGAAGCTAATCTTGTAAGGAAGTCTAAACTAGGCGGTCCTCGCGGGCCTGGGGGTGCGTTGCCACCTTGTCCTTTAGCAGGCAGGTACTGTATAGTGTTGGGAGCGTTGGGTTTGACTTGGACGTTTGCGCCGTTGAACGGACTGGGGCCAGGTCCTGGCGCGCGTCCCATCATCCGTTGCATAGGCATATGATTCGGAAAGGCACCAGGCAGCTTTGGAGAGTGGGACCTCATGTGACCCATTGGCGACCCTGGATGAAATCCATGTGGTGGTCCTTGCATAGGATTCATTCCCATCAGACTACCTGGTTCCATGTCACCCATTCCTCCATGACAGCTGCCCATATCCATCATATGCATTGATGGAGAGCCAAAAGTCATCATAGGCGGCCCCTGACCTGGCTGTCCATTGAGACTACTGGCCACACTATTTGTCAATTGCTGACTCATTTGTGCTAGTGATGATATAGGATCAAAATGTGTCTGTTTCTGATTAACCATTGAACTTGTACAGTTAGGATTCAATGGAATATTTTCATTTCTTCCTCCACCACAATTATAACCAGGTAAGTCCAGCGGGCTGGGTTTACCTTGAGGCGAAACAGCGAAACAAGAACTCATCTTCGCTTGAGATCCAGGGGATGCATTTGGTCCAGAAAATCGCGGCATGTCCATCATATGTGGACTCGGCGTTGGGAAAAGATCATTTTTCAATGGATCAGAATTCGGCCCTGGAACGGTTTGGGGACTCATTCCAGGTGTCACAGTCGTAGCTCCAGACATTCTCTGCACTGATTTATCACCTATAGTAATTAAAATAAACAAATGAAGCATAAAACACTTCATACGGGTTTGGTAATACATAGTTATTTTCTGTTATATATACTACTGCGCCAAAAACACGTTGAGCAAAAGTTGAGCAGTCGTTAAAATATTTCCAGTTTTTATTAAATAAACTATGTGAGTAAAAACGATTTTGGTCCGTTAGCGTAAAATTAATTTACTATTTCAGTAAAACTAGAAATTTTTATATGCCCATATCGCAAAAACTGGCGAATTTAAGCTTCTAGGGGTTTCATATTGCCGTTTAAAGAACTCGACTAGAAAGCGATAACTGTATTAATACAAATCAAAACTAATTCCTGGGTATCAGTCATTTATTGTCTTTATTTATCAATTAAAATACGTTTCGGTGTATTTTTCCACCATCATCAGTTTTTACGTGTAGCGTTGTTGCTGCTTTA